TATATATATATATATATATATAGGGGAATAGTATCTCGTGGCTCCTTACGTGTTAATACAAAATAAGAGTACAAAAATAGGGAGGGAATAAGGATCCCCGTCTAAAAATAAAAAACCTAGGGGTTCATTTATCCACGTTACAACTCCACACCAAAATGATAAAAGTAAAAAAGTGTACCCAAAAAAGGACAATAAATCCAGTATACCAAAGTAATCGTATGCCCCACAAAAGATGTACACCAAAAAATGAAAAAAAAAACACAAAAACGAAGTGAAGAGCTCCAAGCGGCATCAACATCACAAACATCAGCTTTCCACGAGAAAACCTGCAGTAATAAAGGCTAAAAAAAGAGAGGACCCGCGAAAGTAGAGTTTTAGTTAATGAAGCCAATAAAACCTGTAAACTCAGGTGCAAAGGCTGTCACCTAAAAAAAGTACCACAAAACTCAAAAGTAGGTACCACCATAAGTATCTGGTAAGTGGTCAAAACCGCCCTAACCGAGAGCCACTGTAGTAGGAATGGAAATGTAAGAACAGCCCCATTGATATCTAAGGCCAAACCGTACCACCAAATACATAATAAATTTAAGAGGAAACATGCTGACGTACATATGGGGCATCAATCTTGTCACCAACCAGCAAAATGTTTAAAGGAGTGGGGGATCAGATCCCACCCAACAGTTATTAGAGGCGCTACCCAAGCTAGCAAGCCAATTTGCGGGTTGATTTCCCTCCCGATAATTGAAGCTCCATATGACATTCATATTAGTAATTAAGCATTTAATCCTCTTAATATAATAGAGGATGTCCCAAGGTGCCTCGACACCATTGGCAATAATGTCAACCAAGATGCGATTATTAATAAATTGTCAAATATAATAAATTGCCATATAAGAGAGTGCGCTATCATGACAGCCATCAAAATAGCCCGAGCCTTCGCCTCTAAAGGAGTATCAACATAAGATGGGGAAGAAAAGAAGAGAATACAGTTCTCTGCACAATTTCTAGCAATAGGAAAGACATAGAGGGAGTTAAAGCCCAACTCCACACCCCCTCTCCCCAAGTGAGCTTTTGAAAATTATGTAAAGTGGAATATAAAGATTTGGTAGTGGCCTTTCAACCATAACCGCAGGCCCCAAAGACAAAATAATTAATGCCCGAAAAGAAGCTTTCTTTAGCATTTTTCGTGCTCCAAAGTTTATTAATATAGATAATAATATTAGTAAAGACCATTCTATTATGAATGACTTTACCCTCATGTATAATATCATTACGAGCCATCCAAATAAACCAGCATATAATATACGTGTAGACTTGCAACAAATGCTTCTGTTTTCGATCCAGATTGCAAATCATAATGGTAAGCAAGAGATTCCTCTCCGGATTCACAATAGTACCAAACCACATGCCAACCTTCCTCCAAATGTAAATTGAAAAGGGACAAGAAAAGAAAATATGGTCAATAGTCTCCTCCGCCGAGTTACACAAACAACAACGTGAAACAAGTCTCAACCCCTTCATTTTTAAGATATCATCACAAGGGATAACATAATGGAAAATCCGCCAAGTCAGGAAAGACATAAAGGGAGTTAAAGCCCAACTCCACACCCCCTCTCCCCAAGGAAGCTTTTGAAAATTATGTAAAGCGGAATATAAAGATTTGGTAGTGGAGCATGACATTGGAAGTTTCAAAGGAGTATCTTGCAAATGAAATAGGAATAGTTGAGATAAAAGTAGCTCTCTCAAAACCGAGAAGATTAAGGAGATAAGGACAATTCCAATGACCATCCATCCAAGTGTCAGAAACCATAAGAGTTGAAGTCCTAGTATCCCTCATTTTAAGCATAACATGGGACCAAAACCATAAGAGTTCCTAGTATCCCTCATTTTAAGCATAACATGGGACCAGCAGTCATGCCAAAAGGAAATGTTTCCACTCCCCACCTCCTAATAAATGAAATCCTTTGCTCAATCTCTAATATAAAGCATTCTCTTCCACATAGTGGAATCCCTCAACCGTCAATTGATCAATGTCGGATGTGAGGAGTGACAATACTTTCCATGCATGAAAATGACCCACAAGGAATCACCTTTCCAAAAATTAAACCATTGTTTAAAAACATTAATATCAACAATATGTTGCAGAGCTTTTAAGTCCAAACCACCAGCATAAAATGGTTTGCAAATATTCTTCCAAGGCATCAATCTTCTACCAGATTGATTCCCCACCCATAAAAACTTATTAAAACATCTTTCGAGGCTCAAAAGAGTGCTTTTTTTTAGTTGGAAAACTTGAAGAGTGTATAAAGGGAAAGAATATAAAATACTCATGAGCAACGTAATTCTACCCCCAAAAGAGAGGAAATTATTTTTCTAATCCGAGATTTTCTTTCGCACCTTTTCCCCCACCTCATCAAACTGAATTCGTCTCTTCATTCCTTTAAATTCCTTCATTCCTTTAAGTAAGAAGACCCCCAGATATTTAAGAGGAAGGGTAGAGATAAAGAATCCAATAAAATTGACAATCCAACATGCATTAGAGCGATTGACTAAATTTCCCATGTATAAGTTGCATTTATGACATTAAATAGGAGACCAGATACAGATTGGAAATCCACCATTAAATGGTGAATATCCCCACCCACACCCACACACACACACACAAATTTTATTTCTATCTACTATCATTTAATTTATATATATATATATATATATA